GCCTTTTATTTTGAAAATAGCCATGTTTTCTTGTTCCATGTCATGTGAATACCTGTTCCCCTCATGCGATACTGCATGTGGTTCCTTTGTTTTAATGTGTTGGTTCTTGTTTCCCTCCTTCAGGGAACGAGGGTTACATACGTAACCGAGACGTTCTGTCTGTTCATTGGTTGCTTTTGTAATGTGACCCTCATAGTCTTGAATTATGCCCTCATGTTTGCCTTGCTTGGTTTGTCGTGTATTGTAATATGTTATGCCGTTTACATGTTCCACATGCAATGTTGGGAAGGTTACTTTGCAAAAGTAATAGGTTACAGATTACAAGTTACCCTAATTAAAATGTATTAAGTAGTGTAACTATTTCAATTACTTTATTAAAGTAATTTAACTAATTAAATTTGATTACTTTTTGATTACTTTTCTACATTTCTAATGAATGTTTTCAACTGTTCATCATTTTAAAACATTTAAACCAAGCAGGGTTAACCTTACAGTAGTACTCAGCACTGATTACTGTCAGACTTCTACAAACACACTGTCAAACTTCTACAAATTCTTTGTTTCTTCATTTGAATTAAGATTTAGCACCACTTCTTCCTTTGAGATCGTTCTGAGGTTAAATACAGATTTAAAATAATAAGATATAGTTTAATAGCTATTATACTGTTTTTGAAATCAAATCTTTGCATAGCTATGACAGGAAACACTGGCATCTAACAATGTCTAGGAAAAAAAACAAACAGTTAATCTTAAAAAATAAAGCATATACATAAACCCAAATAGGAAATAAGAGTTACTGAATAAGCATGTGTCCTATTCTGTGTCCTAAACTCATGAAACATCGGTGTCTCATATTTTGACACCTTGCTGGTTGAAGGCAAATATCCATCCCCAAGTCTGCATGATATTATGGTGCCTAGATATTACTTTGGTCCTTCTTTCAAGATATGTTTATGTTTTTGTCTTTTTTATTGCACGCCAGGTGAAAAACTTACATTAATATCACACCTGCCTTCAACGGTATTATTCATGTACATACAGTAGCACAAACAATGCCAGATGAGTTGCATGCCAAAGTATAATTCTTTGGGTTAGGGGTTTTGAAAATGATAGTCCTAAGTATGAGCAATAGCAATAGTGAAGTTTGCCTTAGCAAGCGCTACTAATTATTTCAGGTAACAGCAGGTCTCTCAACCGTAGTAAGTCACTGTTCTCTGGAAGTTCAGCTCAATCATGTGGCAACTCGTGGTGAAATTGCTGTGTCTCCTCACAGGTGCTGGACCAGGAACCAATTATCTGGAGATGTGTCTTGGGTCCCAAAATATCATTGTCAGGCTGCCACACACCAAGAGATAAAAGAGAATGAATGGAGTCAAATCCCAAAGTGACATGACAGACTGCCATCTTTTCCCTATCTCTTCCAAAAAGGAACTGATGTAAGGCTGCGTATATATTTTCACAATATCATATATTTTACATTTCTTGAGACCCCTAATGTCCAAACTAACTAACTAACTAACTAACTAACTAAATAAATCTAATCCCTCATTTTTCATCACTCACTGGTCTTGTCTTTCTAACAGGGTTATAGTTCTTTTTGACCAATACATTTGTATGACTTTTCTATGACCTTTCCAGTTATTTGTCAGTACTTGATAAGGTTTTAGTCCCACTTTATATTAGCTGGCCTTAACTATGTACTTACATTTAACTTAATCATTTGGTACAATGCACTTACTGTGTACATACATGTTTTTACATTGTACTTATATTAAAAAAATACCTGCATGTAATTACATCTGTAATTATGTTCTGTAATTACATTTATAATTACACTGTTGACCCATCTTTTACACCTTAACCCACCCTTAAACCTACTGTATCCATACCACCAAACCATACCCGTATCCCACCTCAATAGCAGCAAAAGTGTTTTGCAGTACAATATGAACACAACAAGTACATTGTACTTATTTATATGTAAGCACATAGTAGATAAGGCCACCCAATATAGGAATAGTTTTGATTTGTTAAGGAATTTTTTGTAAATTTGCCTGATTGATACTTTGACATAATCCTTTATACAAGATCTATAGGAACATTTCTAGTGGATAAAATATTTTCATGCAGAGCATAACAAGAAAAAAAAGTATATTCGCTTTTCAATTCGAAATTGAAATAATACATTGTAAAATCCCTGATATTTCCAGATGTTCCAGTTGTAACTAATCTTCACTGTCAGCCAGAAAAAAAATAAAATCCTTTATTATCCATAAATGACCCAGTTTACTATGCTTTACCTACTGTGCTGTGATATTAGCTTTAAACATTTTTTTTTTAAATCCAGAAGCAATGAGTCAAAATTATTTTCCAGAATCCAGAACTTTCCTTTAAAACCAGATCATAAATTAATCATATGTTGTGAGTTGATACAACATATTTATTCATTCTGAGGCGATATTACTCTTGCAGCATTGCAATGGGAGCAGGTATTCTCATGTCAGAGCCTGACAGCTAGCACAAACGTGCTAAAACAGAAAAAAAGAGGCGCGGGACTGCTTCACAGGCCATTAGAGAAATCAATCGCAGGGCGATCAGCCTTTCTTGACTCCCTCCAGATCTTAAGTACTGACTGATGGGTTGGATGTTCTGAGGTCACGTTTGAAAAATCTGTAAGCTTTGACAAAATGTAATTGCATATTGAAACACGGATGCTGTCCCATCATGCTTTGCGGCTCTCATGATGGTTATCATGAAGGTAAAGTCTCCAGTGGCAGAAATAAGATGTTAAGACATTGTTTCCTGCATGATTATTGACCTGAGATTGAATTAGAGCTATAAAATAAATTAAATAGTGCTCCATCCATTTGAGAAAAACTATAATGACTTGAAGCCGATTACCCTTAATCATTTTCCAATGTTGAGCGGCTGAAATTTCATTGAAAAATAACAAGGAATGGGTGCGAATCAGATGAGATATAAATTAGATTAAACTCTCCCCTTTGACTGTTTATTTATTGGTCATGCTTACCCATCTTAGTGGAATTGTGAGTCGAGGTGGGTTTGCTTATTGGTTGTGAATAAGCAAAACTGCTAAATACTAAATGCTTTTAATCGAAAATAGAAATATACTGACAAATGTGCAAATATAGTGTGATATGGTGACATCACAGACTGCAGTTTCTCCTCCAGCCCACCAGAGGGAACTATCACCTGGATATTAGAGTTACCTATGTATTTCGTTTGCATTTTGGTTATGGATTTTGTCTGTTGTTTTGGATTTGTTTGCTGATTTATTCTGAAATCGAGACAAAATGACTTTGGACACTGCCATGAATATGACGACAAGCTCTCTGGCGCCTTTAAAAAAAAAAAGCATATAACAAATAATAACAAATCCTATTTCACCAAACTTAAACGTACACAGCGAAATGCGAAACATTTTAGCATGAGCTTACATTTCTGGTCTGCCATATTCGCATGCGTATGAACAATGTCAACGGGACGAAAACTGTAGTTTGACCATCTGACTTTATGAATTTTGTCCTTGGCCTAATATATGACTACTCTTTTGGATTTTATTCTCCAACTAGCATATGTAATATGGATTCTAAACCTCCAGCAGCATATTCATTACAGAGATCAGTAGTTTTTGTCTATGTAAAATTGATGTTGTGTTGCTTAAAGGGGTCCTATTATGCTCTTTTATAAAGTCTTGATTTTGTTTTGGGGGTGTACTAGAACAGGCTCTCATACTAGGTTGTTCGAAAAACACATTATTTTTCACATATTTTACATTATTACAACACCTCTCTCCCCAGTCTGGCATGAACGGCTCGAATAGTTCCTGTATCAAATGAAGGCCCGCCTTCTGAAATACGAAATGTGCTGTGATTGGTTAGCTGGGTCGGTGTGTGTTGTGATTGGTTAGCTGGGCCAGTGTGTTGTGATTGGCAGCACTCGGCGCCTGGTCGGGAAATGTCATGCCCCTTACCATAGCCGCCTGCGAGCTTCAGTGTAAATATTGCGTCGATATCAAATCAATTTGAGCGGGATTTAAACCCGGATGATTGTAACCACTCTAAGTCCGTCTGCCTTGGGAAAGCTAGCGTGTCTCCGACATAGTGATAACACTCGTTGCCTTCTCTAGTGCAGCTCAACCAGGTCTCGTCCCATTCGTCTGTATTTGTGATATCACAAATCCCGGAAAATATGCTTTGTAGTCCAAACGAGTCGTTCGTTGTAGTTTTTGAAAAGTGATTTCTGTTAAATAAAATATCTCCTTTTGAAGTGGACTTTGAACTTTGTAACTTTGTAGATCTTTTTTATGCTCAAACAGCAACATTACAGACTAACTAAAGTTGAAAAAGTGAAAAAGCATAATAGGACCCCTTTAAGTGAACTTGGGCATAACAACATTATCATGTACAGTTTGATAATAGATACATTTAATTTACTGTTATCTAGCACAATTATTTTTTTCCAGTCAATGATGGCAAAAGTAATCATGAAATTATAAATAAGCAGCTTATGAATTGCATTAAACAAAACTCTTGAATGTCTTTTAATGACCTTTATTAACTTTGGCCAATTTGGAAAATAGATCTACAGTACCTAAAAACAGCTCATTTTAGTATAACCACAATGAAATATTTCTATAAAACTGGCAGTTAAACACATTTAATATCACTTTAATTATAATGAAAAACAAATACTTATTTAATAGACCTTTTCAGGTTCTTCAGATGGTTAAAGTTTCAACAGGCTTTAATTTCTCAAGAGCGCACTTCAAGATGTCATTATAACTCTTCTTTGACTGTCCTTGGCACTTTCTCACTTCCTCTTGTCGCCCGAAAGCTTTTCACCACCACAAACCGCCCTTCACCTCCTCTCACAAACCAATACTGATTACCATCAGCCGAGAGCTTTTATCACAGGTTAAAAGTTTCGAGGAACTTTTCCCCAGTCTGTCTGATGGTGACTGCACTCATGAAGCATTTATTACCTCAGTGTTATTCTAGGCCTGCTTTCACAGGCTTTGCTGACAACGTTATTGTCCTGACACCTGATAGATCAAAACAAGTCCAGGGCGGAGAGTGACAGGCTTCAGTGAAAGCTCAGCCTTTTAACCTGTACACAATAAAGCAAGGCGTCTCGACTCAGAGTGCCTCTGCGGAGTCCGCATGGAGTGATTTGCTCAGTCGTCCGTCACTGTCACTCTGCTCTGCCGCGGCGGCATCACTGTTTGTGCTCGTAAATACCTCAATCACAACAGGCCCTGCCCTCGAGAACCATTCCTCACTTTCCTTCTTATTTTCTTTCCCTGTTCTTGTTGTTCTCTTCTTTTCTCAAAATATCATGCTACACTAAGTAAACTTTCACTGTCATGATCTCATGAATTACTTTTAACCCCTTTCATTGTTTGGAAATATGCCTCTTAAGCTCACTAAGCGTGGATTTATTTGATTAAAAAAAATACAATAAAAACAGTAATAATGTGAAATATTATGTCAAATATATTTTAGTAATTTAAAAAATTAAAAGTGTGATTTACTAATGTGATGCAAAACTGAATTTTAGCGGCCAGATATATATATATATATATGGTAACACTTTATTTTAGGGTCTCTTAACTAGTTGCTTATTAGCATGCATATTACTAGAATATTAGCCATTTATTAGTAGTAATTAAGCACATATTAATGCCTTATTCTACATGACCTTATTCTACATCCCTAATCCTACCCA